CCGTATAGAGCGCGTGCGCAGGAGCATGCGGCCTTTCCCCGCTGGGCAGCGCTGCGAGTGGGTTGGTGAGCGGTCGTGGTTCGTGCGCGGCCGCGTTCTGTGCGCTAAAGCGATGATTGGGACGGAGCCCTCGGGCCTCGACATGCAGCCCACGCGGGGGCCTTGCGGCGGCAGGTCGAGGTCGGCGTCGGCAGCCCGCGGGCTGGGAGGCCCGGGCGGACTTGGGGCTCCTTAGGCCGCGCGGCCGCCACGTGCAACTCTAGGTGCCGAGTCCCAGGCGGCGCGCATGCGCCCGGGCGAGTCCGGGACGGTCGGGTCCACGCAGCGCCCAGTGGCCGAGCGGGACGCCTGCAGCCGGCGGGTGAGTAGCGTCGCTCGCGGCCCTGTCGCGGGCGGGCGGGGTCTCCATGTGTCTTTGGGACCTGTCTCTGTGGCAGTCTCCCTTCCTAGCCATGGAAGAGCATCCTCTTGTTTATTGGCAAAGCTGTCACCATTTAATTGGTATCAGATTCTGACTTGCACAAGTGACATTCTTCACGTCTGCAGCCCTGGGGGGTGCGGGGTGACTGCGCGAAGATGTATTTTTCAAATGTTTCTGCGAGGTTGGACTAATGGCTGCAATGGATGATGGGAAGCATACGGTCCGGTACGTTCCTTTCCGTCCGTATTTCAGAGCTGGTCTTACTGCAAAGGACCCGGGAGGCCGGAACTGGCCGTCCAGCCGGCGGTTTGTAACTCGGGAGGGTAATGAGCCGGCTGAGCGGGGGGTAACTGCTGCGGCCTCCGCCCTGTGAGTTGGGGGCGCAGACGGGAATGTTGTAAAGCTGTTTGTTCTTCCCTTGCAGGGACGAGAAGGCCCTGCCGCGGGTGAGTCTCCGGGAGCCTCCTGCATGCCCAGGACAACGGGATTTCGAGTCAGCAGCTCCAGGATGGCTGGGAAATGATGTGATGGAACAGAACGATGTTCTGGGAACTACAGGAAGTATTTTCAGTTATACCTGGATGTTGGCAGATGAGTGCGTGCTTGTTACGATTAAATAAAGTGCTGGTTCGTCTGGCTGTTCCGTGTGCCCTGGCTGATCACTAGATGGGAAGGTGCTGGTGCTCTGTCAGGGGAGCATGTGCAGGTGGGGAGGCGAGCATTTGGGGAAGTGGATACAGGAAAACCAGGTCACCCCTGAGAGGTTCAAGTCCCAGGTGTGCGGGCAAGTGAGACAGCCATCTCCTGCAGTGATTAAAGAACACTGAATTTATTTAAGGAGAACAGGGATATTCAAAGGGAAGGGGTACACAGAGAAAGGGGGCCTTGGAGACAGGTTCGGGGGTTAGCCTGGGACGAGCTGCTGCTGCCCATTGCTCCCTTGGAGTCTCATGGGACCCTTAGAGGTGGGGGGGGGGTGGCACAGTGCTCCTTGGGGGAGTGTGTGTTGGTCCTTTGTCCTGACCTATTTAGCTCTTATAGGTGGAAATCTTAGGTGAGGGTATTAATAGAATATTCCTCAGCTTTCCAGGTGTGATCACTGATGGGTAGGTGCCAGGGCAGGGGGTCCCGAGGCAGCCGCGTACCACTTGTCAGGTTCTGCTTTTCAGGGCCTGGAGCTGAAACAACAGGCCTGGGTGTTACCTTAGGGAGAAAAAGGTCAGGGTCCAAACTGCATGACCAGTGATACACGAGGGGAGGGGTGCTTGTTTTCCCAAGGTTTTTTTAAATGTATTTTCATTGATTGGCTGCCTCCTGCACCAGGGATTCGGAGAACTGGCACATGCCCTGGCGGAATTGAACGATGACCTCCTGGTTCATAGGACTAGGCTCAGCCACTGAGCACGCTGGCCAGGCACCTGGAGCTTTGTGCCCTGGTGAGTGCTGGCCCGTCGTCCGTGCTCTGTTCATGTCTAACCGCCTCTAGGGGAGAGGAGTCACCACACAAATTAGACAACTGCACAAGGTGAAAGGCTGCACTTTATTTACACATTTGTATTGTATCATAAGTCACAGTCAACAAATTAGAAAAGTATATTTTGAACCAAAAGTTTTACTTGGAGGTTGAAGGGAACTTTATGCTACTTTTAAATAAAAGTTCCTTTTAACACCTAAAAGCTCAGGCTTTTGATAATGTTGCTCTACTTGATACAGCATAAAGCAAAGCACCGTTAGGTTAGCACCAGTCTTACCAAGCTCAGGATTTACAGAACGGGACACAATCTGGCACAGAAAGAAGTCCCTCCTCAGGATCACTTAACCATTCTGAAGCCTAAAGTTTGCACTGACCTCTTCCGGTTTCTATGACTACTCCTGGGATAGAGGAGAACTAGACCTGGGGTTTGGGGAGGACTCGCCTGTTGGAAGGACACTGGAGTATCCTGGGGGCATGCCTTCCATCCTTGGGCAGAGACCACTGCCACCAGGAATGTCCTGAAAGGTTACCGGGCAGCTAGTCCTTAGCGCTTTGGGGAATGAGCCAGAGGGAACTCCCCTTTGGGCAGGAGAACATGGGGGCACAATGCCACTGTCAGCTTTGGAGCTGTCTGGATTCCAGGCCCACCAGCTGTCTCACTCCCAGGCCTGTTTCCTGACAAGCTTTTTGTAAGCAATGCGGTGCCCTGGCACACACACTGGCCACCTACACAATGCCCTGGCACACACCGGTGGATGCCTTACACCGGATAAACAGCATCGTTAGTGTTTTTATTGAATAGGACCGTCAGGCTGGTCTCAGGCTATCTACAGGTAAGGCGGCAGCAGACAGCCCTCAGGTCGTGGTGCAGGGAACAGAATGCTAAGGAAGAAACATGTTTACCAGTTACGTGACACGGTTAAAAGTAACCGGAGTAGATACGCTAACAAATCGGGTGGGTAAATTAGGTTGTGCAACCAACAACTTGAAGACATTCTTTCCTGTGTTAGGGGGAATTCTTCCACATTTTCCTAGCTACATACAAGGTGGCTAGAACACTGGTGATTGCCGTGTGCCTGGTGCAGAGGCCTCGTTCATGCATGTGCCATGACAGCCTATCCAGTCTACCCAGCAGGTCCCTTCCCTCAGCCCTTATCTCACCTGACGAAGGCCACAGAGATCACACGCATGAAGCTTTGTCAGCCTTCAGCTTAAACGTGTGTAAACAGGAAACGGCACTCCAACTCTGAGTGAGGTCATGAGTATTTTTTCGTCAAACATGGGCACTTAATATGAATCCATATGTCACTGATTCAGTTATAAGTTCTCCAAATAAAGGTAAAAACAGCGTTATTGCACAATCAGTATATACAGTAATACCCAGAGGATTCTGAGAAATAGAGTTAAATAAGGTTCAAATGAGAATAAAGTTAGTCCCCAGTGGAACTAGCTTGGGAGGCGTCAATGCTAATTCAGGATAATCAGTACCACATCGAGGTTCTACAGAAACGGTCACGCCACAAGCTCTCCCAGGCAGCGGAGGGGACACGTCCTACCAACAGCACACCCGGGGCCGCGGGCCCCGTTGGTGGGCATCTCTGGCTGAGGGCCAACGCTGAGGTTGAAAGTTGCCAACACATTTTTTAAGTATTTCCTTGAGGGTTCCACCAATTACAGTTTGGTGACACTTTTTATCCAAGGTACAAAGGCTGAAACTTTGGTATAAACGCCGGGCGAACCCTTGGCTCCACAGCCATAGCCCCAGGAGGTCACCCCGTACACGGCCCAGCCGGCTCCCGGCCGCTCGCACACGAGGGGCCCGCCGCTGTCCCCCTGGCAGCTGTCCACGCGGCTGTGTCCCTGGAGGCTCCCGGCGCAGAGCATCCTTCCCGTGAAGCGGCCCTGGTAGCGCTCCGCGCACCGCCTCCGGGGCAGCAAGGGCACGGCGGCCTGCTGCAGCGTCCTGGCGTAGGCGCGCCCTGCAAACCAGACGGCGGTTAGCTTCCAGCTACCGTCCTGCGGAAGGAGCTGCCTGGGCAGTTTCAGGAACATGAACATCTTTCACATAAAAGCCCTCCTGTGACTCGAGTGCAGTTTAAACGGCACCCAGGCCACCGCCTGCCTTTGTCATGCTGCCACTTGGCACCTTCTTACCCTCCACTAACCCGCTTCTCAGCACCGAGTCCGGAAGACGAACTAGCAGCGCTGTGGACTCGCTACAGACAGAGCCCCCGAAAGCAGGTGCACAGGCCTCGGTGTCTGAACTGCGCATAGAAGGCGAGGGCCGCCCGGGCTGGTTTGGGTGAGCATGTCCGCTCTAAGGCCCATCTGCTGCACTGACGTGAGGACTGGTTACAAGCGACAATGACCCGTCAGCACGGGAGGGGACAGTAACTCCTACACAGAAGTTCCACACCCAGGATGGGAACCCAAGTTCATGACCTCACCCAGCAGACCTTCCTAACAACTCGCCCGAATCCGCTAAGATTCTACAACCGACCGCACGAGCAGCCACGGCCCGGTGACCCGGCCCACCGCCCGGCCTGTCGTCCCCGTTACCTGTGTCTCCCCAGCCCGTGATGTGGCAGCCGGTGGCTGTCCGCTGTGGCCTCTCTCTCCAGAGCGGCAGGCAGGCGGGCAGCACGTGGCTGCTGAGCCTGGCGCACTGCCCATCCGGCCCCTGCAGCCTGACCAGGGCGATGTCGTGGTCACTGCTGTCCGGCCGGTACGCCCCGTGGAGGACAATCTGTTGGACTCCGATTTCTTCTTCAAACTCCTCGGGCACCAGCGTGTGGTAATCCCCGACCCGGACAGCGTAGCTCCGCGAGCTGTTCCCGTACCTGAGAGGCGGGCGCTAGTCAGCGCGTCAGATGCTGAAAGGCGTCCTCGGCCGAGTGACGGCCCCTAGAGCTACTGCGAGCCCGTGTCCCACGTCGCCCGCCCCCCTATGTCCCCCCTTTCCTTCCATTGCTCTGCCCCCACCGCTGTGGGACGAGAAAGCCATCCTTCCACCCCACGGGACCTCAGTCCCTTGACCCTGACCTCCCTCTCCCCAGGCTGCATCCCATAATCCCTCCGTCCTTTATCCACCAAACTCCCGGCTCGGGCTCCATGGGCACCACGTGCTAGGCTGCGGAAGAGGAAATGACAGTGAGCAGCTCTCAGCTTCACCTCTTCCCGGAACATGAAAGCATCCCCTGGGTACCAGACCTGTCCTCCCGGTGTGGACTTAGAGAAGCTGGCATTCTCAGTGACTGCCTACCTGCACAGCAGACCCTCCCACTCGCTCCCGTCTATTCCTGGGGGCTAGACGCTGCCAAACATTCGAACAGGCTATGCAGGGCCCTGACCACCCCGCCGTGTGGAAAGCAATTTAACTGCCCAGCTGAACACTAGGCAACGCTACAGAGACGATGTAGCTGCCAGCCACCTACCACAGACCCGTAACACCATTTCCTGTGCCTCCCTGAGGGTCTCCATTGCCAACCTTATTCATCTCCATCTTTAACACCCAGAGGCCTTTCACATGGTGCACCTACACTATCACCTGCTGGGCTCCACTTCAAAATGGAAGCAACATTTAGGGCTATTTCACATCCTGAGACTGTAGAAAGCAATAGTGGACAAGAATCAGATGTTTAGATAATTCTCACTTAGCTCCCACTTTCCGTGTACTGATATTACTATTATAAAGATTCAATATGCCTACTTAATGTACTCGGGTTTTAAAGTAATACCCCAAGTGATTTATTACTTTTCTAACAAGAAAAACTGGGGTTGCACTCTTGAAAGTACTGCTCAAATGTTTCATGTATCTTTGGAATAGAATTTAAAAGCCATCACTGGCCAGTACAGCAGCCAGCAGCCACCTGTGTCTGTTGAGTACAGTAGCCAGCAGCCACCTGTGTCTGTTGAGTACAGTAGCCAGCAGCCACCTGTGTCTGTTGAGTACAGTAGCCAGCAGCCACCTGTGTCTGCAGGAGAACTTGAGATGAGGTTAGCCTGAATGGATACGTGCTAAAAGTATAAAGAGACTCAGGACTTTAAATATTTAGTATAAAAAAAGGGCTCTATATATAATGAATGTTTCTATGGATAATAGGAAAATTAACTCAATTTTTATATTATATTTTGCAATGATAATGTTTTGTATATACTGAGTTAA